TAGTTCTAGTGCTACTATGATTCGTATTATTGCGATTGGTCTTATGAGCATGTGCCAGCGAATTGTTACTCGCATTGTTTTGTCATGGTTATTACTCTTACTAGTACCATGCTCTTTATTCTTGGCATTCTTCGTGTCAGTCGTATGCTGATTCATAGTTTCAGTTTTATTATCGTGCGTATGCTCATTATTCTTCACATGGTTACATCTATTTAATTTTCCTGTTCATATTCTTATCATGTTCCATGTTTACCATATGTGTCTTTCTCTGCTTATTTTACGTGTATGTTATTTTCCTGTCTCATTAGTTCTTCATGCGTGTTCCTACCCGTAGTGATATTATTAGTGTTGGTGTTCTTAGTCGCACTCTGATTATTACTCTTACTCTTCGGATTAGTCATTGTCCGTATTAGAGGACGAGGAGGAGAGGAGGAGGAGGAGGAGGAGGAGGAGGAGGAAGAGGAGGAAACGGAGGAGGAGGAGGAAGAGGCGGAGGAGGAGGAGGACGAGGGAGGAGAAGGAGGAGGAGGAGCAGGAGGAGAAGGAGGAGGAGGGAGGGGGAGGAGGAGGAGCAGGAGCAAGAGGAGGAGGAGGTGGAGGAGGGGCAGGAGGAGGAGGAAACGGAGGAGGAGGAGGAAAAGGAGGAGGAGGAAGAGGGGGAGGAGGACGAGAAAAAACAGGAGGAGGAGGAGGAGGAGGAGAAGAAAGAGGAGGAGGAGGAGGAGTAGGAGGAGGAAGATGATGAGGAGGAAGATGAGGAGGAGGATGAGTAGGGGGGATGCTGATGATGATGCTGATGCTGATGCTGATGATGATGATGATGATGATGATGATGATGATGATGATGATGATGATGATGATCATGGTGATGATCGATTCTTGCAGATTCTTCCAGATTCTTCCGAATTGTCCCAGATTCTCACAGATTCTTCCGAATTCTCCCAGACGCCATCAGGTTCTCGCAGATTTCTGCGGATCGTCCGACAATTGCCCAAGCGTCAAGCGCCGGCAAGATCTTAATGCAACGATAGGTAGTTGATTGGATATATAGATCGATAGATCTATAGACAGTTAGATCGACAGATAGATATACATATAGGTAGATCGACACATAGACCTATAGGTAAACAAACATATAGGTATACAAGATAGCTCAATGGATAGATGGGCACATGTGCGCGACAACGGGAAAGGTGAACAAACAGCCAAAGAAACCAGAGCCATCGCAAATCGCCCGCCTCCCCCTTCCCCTCCCAACTCCCTTATCACTCGTAGGGTGGTCCTATCGGTATCACGGCAGTGAACTGCACCACTCTGTCAGGGCAAATCGGCGACACGCCCCAAAAGCGCATTGTATTTAATTATGTCGACAGGTTCTGCCCGATTTAGAACGACACCAATGAATCGAGCCCAAGAACTCGCGCAAGTTGCGCCCACCATTCTGCGTACGATTGAAATGGCTTGAATCGTGTTCTTGTCAGGCCTGAAACCAAAGTGTGTTCTTCACATGCGTTCTTGGGCACCTCTACTCTGAAGTGTTTCGTTGGATCACCCACGCACTTTGCACCCGACAGGATCGAGACATAGTCCAGGAGTTCTCTGGCAAGCTAGTGTCCCGCTTTTTGTATAGAAGTGTGGCACTGGCAGTAGTTCTTCCAATGTTACCCCATCTTGCAATACATATTTCCCGACTTTATTGTTTTACCAAAAAGGAGGTCTTTCAAAGCACCGATAAGTTCATCGAATGTAAGCGGCATTGTTTTGACAGGCCCATCGTTCCCAATCTCGTTTGGGATGTAGGGTCGGAATATGGAGTCGTAATCTTGAATTGTGTGTGTGGTCGAAGTAGTTCGCCAAAGCGTCTCCACGTGTACTGCTGTCCACCAAATTACATGCAGTGTTCGGCGACGCCTTTCTGGAATTGCCCGACAGCATGCCATGGACCGTTGTGCAATTGATCATCCAACCGTCTTCGTCTATCCTCTGGATTGCGTGGCGGATCATTTTCCCAAGTCTTCGTTCTCGCTTTATGTGTCCAGCAAGACGCGCCGAATCTCGATAAACTAGAAGGTCCAATATATTTCATGATGCCCATTGTCGGTGCGCTTGCTTTTTGTGTTCACTTGCCACCCCGAAGGCGCTTGAAATCGGAATTGTGATGCGCTCCGCGTGCCCATCCAAATCTTCAGGTAATTGTTTTGCGTGCACTTCTCCGCAAGAGGCGTCGCAGTAATTCTCTGCCAGAACACGATCAGCGCGCAGACATTGATCCTTTTGACCATAGTTTGCATGTTGATCCCCGCTTGTATCGAAACGTATTGAGGGCTACACTTGTAGTAAAACGTATCTTGATGCGAGTGGCATGTCCCGCCTTGAATGAATCTTTGTGATTGCTCCCAGAAGTTCTGCGTCCGCTACGCAGTGATCAATGCGTGACCATCCAGATGCAGATGCTTCTTCTGTCAAATCACAATCGGGACCGTAATATGTAACCAACTTGTTTTCCATGATCGAAGGAAGTATTGGCAATCAGGGCCCCTGCCGCCCGGGATGCCTCCATGAGGCAATCGTTTTGTTTTCGTTCTCCAGTTGGGGCCATCTGTTTTCGAAGACAAATTGGCCCATGATGGTGTCTTCCTCCTGCTGCTGGCTGAAGACCTTCGAGTTGAAGCCTCCCTGTGCCATGGTACACGTTGGCCTTGCTTTGGCCATGCCTGAATCAAGTGACCGGTTGGACCCAGATAAAATAATGAGATAACAATTTTCAACATGCATTTCTGATTTGCTCACCTTTGTTTCTTATGCGCAAAGCACGACAATGCCATTTTGTTCCATGTGGTGTAGATATTCAGCCAAGTTGCCTGCTCCTTCCCAAAGCCTTCGACATTCCAAGTCCCAAGCCTTGCGTCCGTCAGCGGACGGCATCGGCGCTTGGTTCGGCCCCGATTGTTGAATTCTGTTTGAACCCATGGGAGCCTGCATCGGTAGTTTTGCCCGATACCGGTTATGTGTTTTGGGTGTCAGACGGTGCCTAAGCAAGATCTGCATTTGTGTCCGCAGCGGCGTCCACGCTAGACGTCATAGAGGGTGGCATAAATTTACGTGCACTTTTGCACAGCATGTTCCTCGTGTTTTGGGAATTCGCTTCTTCACCTGAATGGTTGTTGATCGTACCTCCACCCATGTCCGAGTCTGCACACCCAAAGTGCAAGGAATGAAAACTGATATGTTTGCCTGGACGGTGCCCCTGGGGATGTGCGGCATGTGTCTCCAGACTGACAGATTCAAATGTTCCCCGTATGTCATATTTTGTTTGATCCCCTTTTGACCTCCCTTTCGGATTGCCCTCCATCCCTGCACTGGCCCGGCGTACCAGAGCGTCGCACTTGTCCACCACTTGAGGCCATGTTTACATGATCTTGTAGTTCCCCCCAGTTCTTCCAATCTTTTTCCCGTTCCCGGTCGACGGCACCATCTCGACCATGTACGGTTAGTGCCAGTTCTCCACCGACGCGTGCCTCGTATGGGGCGTGGTCAGGTAAGTTACGGGCAGCTCTTTCGACCGTCTTTTTGTCTTGCGAAGCCCATGTCGTGCGAGTCCCTCGCTTACAGTGCTTACTCAGGAACAGTGCTACTGCCGTTTCTCGCTCCAGCATGTCATTGAACTCCACAAGTTACCAACATTTTGTAGCGTAAGTAGATGATTTGATGGAAAAGGGCCATCCGTGATCGTAAGTTGCTCCCAGATGAACGAGGAGGCAGTGACCTTGGACTCGAAGTCTTCAAGGTTGCCGATGACCACCGTAAGACATTGTTTTCCATTGTAGTGATACTCGTCTGCTGTTTTCCTGGAGTGTCTTGATCGTGGTGTAACATTTCTCATGCCCTTGATTTGGTTTTAGATATGGTCGAAGCGAGTTTACATAACGTGTCCCACATTTGTGTGTCTCGATGTCGTTGTATTTTTTTTCCTGCATCGCGTTGACCTCTTTTCTCAAGTCCCCAAGCTGTTCCTTAATGGTAGCGTGGCGTCTAGTCCTTGCGAGGTACACCGTGCTGCTTGATGGCCGCGATGTCCTGCTGGATAGGGCGGAGTTGTTGTGCAATCTAGTTCCCAATTGCAACTAATGTGAGAGGTTCGCTGCTCTGGCTGCGCCTGTACCTCATAGGGGAAACGGAGGAGGCAGTTGTGCTTGTCTTAGAATTTCTGATTCTGGAGCCGAAAAGCTTACGGGAAGATCTCCATTCATCTCGTGAAGCGGATTGTGGATCCGATGTTGTTTGAACAGTTGCCAGACCGGCGTGCGTGTTGTTGTTTGTCGCCATCGTTTGATGAAGCCATCGGAAGTGTCAGGTGTAGGGAGTTGAAGTTGTAAGGTGCAGGAATGCAAAATGTGTAAGGTGTTAAGGATGGGCCAGGCAGAAGTCGGAATGGCGTTCCAAAATTGGTCCGTCTTGAGCCTTGGCGATTCTCCGAGCAGGTGGGGTCGATTGATCGCCCCGCATCGACGATGCATCGGCGATGCGGTTCGATGAGGAGCCAGGATTTCCTTACACCGATGCATTGGCGATGCGGCGCGATCCTTTGACCACATCTTCGGTTGTTGCTAGACAAGTGCAACTGGCCCAGGGTGCCTCCAGGATTTCCGAGAAGACCATGAAGGCTTCCGGAGCACCCCTCACGAGGCCCAGAGGGCCCAAGGGGCTCCAACATTGATCAAAAAGTTGGGGGCACGTTGGGCCAGGGACACCTTTCGGCGGCGAGCCCGGAAAGGAAGTCAGAAGGGGCGGGCCTTCTCATAAGGCTCCGAAGTCCCCCGGCCTTCTGAGAAGGTTTTTGAGCCTTCCTCGAAGACGCAGTAAGCTTTTCAGAAGGCGCGAGGACTTCTGAGCAGCCCCGCCGCCTTCTGAGAAGGCCTCCTCCTTCTCACTTCCCCGCCTCGCTCGCCGCCGAACCTGTACACCAACCCCCGACGTCTGCGCGGGCCCCCTCTGGAGAGGCCCCCGGAGGAGCAGCGCGGCGGCGGGCGGCTCGAGGCGCTGACGGCCGCGGTCGCGCGGCCCGCGCAGCCCATGCCCCGCGGTCGGCCGCCCGGCCGGCCCTGGACTCGGAGCGGGCGGTCCTCGGGGGCAACGAGAGGGTCGAGTCGGGCCCGTCCCTCTACAGGAGGAATATTCAAAGATAGTCAAGAATAGTCAGGGGACGATATTTTCAGTACTGTCGACCATTTTGGAGTATTTTTTGAGGAATGTTTTATCTTTCGTCCACAATCCCCCCGTAGGGGGACACGCCCGACTTGACGAAAGGGGGGATAGGCACAGGGGGGATGCATCGATCCTCAATCGCCCATTGATCGCCGACAGGGGCCCGATGGCCCGATGGCCCCACCCCGAATTCACCAGCAAACACTACCCATTGAGACATCGATTGCGACTTTACAAAGGGTACGGTCATCCCTGCTGTGACGTACGGCGCAGACACCTGGACTCTGACAGAGCCCCTCAAGCAGCAGCTACGACGAACGCAACGACGCATGATCAGACTAATCATAGGGGCACCGAGGAGACGCACAGCTGCACCGACACCGCACCACGACCCAGCAGTAGCCCAAAACAACACCCACCACCACAGTAAGGGATCCACCAATCCACGCGACTCCAACGATTCCAACGATTCCACCGACTCCGACGTACGCAGCGACCTTCCCAACCCACTCAATCTGCAAGACGCAGGCAACGACGACGAGGACACGCAGCCTAGCAGCAGGGGGGATGACGACCTGGAGCTGTGGTCCGAATTCATCCGCAGAAGCACACGGAGGCGGAATCACTCATGCTCATGCACGATATACCAGACGTGTTGAATATACATTGTAGAATGGTATGGCGATGGGCGAATACGGTGTCTCACCATCCCACGACTCGCTGGACCCGGAGAGTGCTGGAATGGAACCCGAATCTCAATAGACGCCAGCGCGGACGACGGCAGCAAGGGGGACAGCCAAAGCGGTGGGACGACGATATCCGCAGTTTCCTGCACAGTCTGGACAGCGAGGCCGTAGAGGAACAGAACAGGGCAGCCACCCAACCACGACAATACGACCACAACAACACGAACGACCTACGATGGATCCGGGCCGCTTGTTGCACAGAGTGGTGGACATCCTGTGAGCCGGCATACGTTTCACAAGCTTGAAAATTTTGGTGATCTTCTTTGTCGAGGCCACGGCCTCCACGCCATTGCCCTAATGGCCACGGGCGGGCTTCCCGGTGGAGCGTGCACGACTCCGGCGTTCGCTTTTTTCGTTTTTCGCGTAGGAAGGTGCGGAGCCACCATCGGGGGCCCATCGCCGATCTGTCGACGATGTATCGCCGATTCCAGGCCGATGCATCCCCCCCAATGCCTACTTTCCCCTATCGTTGCCGCTCAGGCCCACTGCGAACCCCCACCGCGGAGGGGGTCCCATCGACGCCGGTCGGATGGGGCTAGGACTCATCGAGCACAAAATGATCCACTAACATTAATAACACGATGAAGACGTGGCCTCACTGAGGTCCCCGTCTGCGCATTAGGGATCATAAGATTGGACGGTTTGGTCTGCTACATCTGCAGAAAAGACCCCTAGTCCTAATGTTTTCGTCCTTCCTAACTTCGGTCCCCTTCCAAAGGGGTAGGTGTCCTCTTTTGGCCAATCAAGGACGAGAATCAATCCGCTCCAGTTCTGGAACGCTCTCAGAGCGTTCTGAGCCACCGCGCCGTCATGCCATATCGCCTAAGGCCGTTTTCTATTCGTCGCCCACTTGGTTGTGGAGGGTTTCTGCGAAAGGCTTAGGCGACCCGTCCTCCTCCTCCTCCTCCTCCTCCTGCTCCTGCTCCTCCTCCTCCTCTTTCTCGGGTCGCCTACGGCCCCCGGGGGAAACCGTGCATTTGGCTGCAGGCACCCTTCGAATTCTGGTCACCAGCCGTCGTTCCATAGAAGTGGCCTGCAGGGGCAGGGGGCGGGGCTAACGCGTGGGTGTCTGCTGGGGGCAGCACGAAGCAGTCCAGGCAAGCGTCCTCGGAGGTCCGCGCAGACGTCTCGGGTCGGCGCTGGCGGACCCCCCTCCCCGCACCCCTCGGGGGCGGCTACGGCTCTGACCTCGCGCAGGGGGAGAGAAGTGAGCCAGGGGTGTCCAGTGCCGATCCAAGACACCCACGCGGACCACAGAACGTGCATAAGTTCATCTAGTGGTTTTGGCTTTTGCAGGGCCAGGGAGCCAAGCAGAGCCTCCAATGACCAGTTCACCGATCAAGATCGGTTGCTGGCCAGGGACTGGTCTTGATCTTCTCCTCGCAACTGGAGCGGCCGGCCAGCCGACCGCGGGGGCCCGCGTGGTGGTCTGGCTCCGCAAGGCGCTGCGTGGCGAGGGCGGGCAGGGGCGAGGCCGCAGGGGCCGCGCCGCGCGCAGGGGCCGGCGGGCGGCGGGCGCGCGGCCCGAGGATCCCGGGATCGGGGCGATGGAGGTTCGGGAGAGAGGGAGCAGCCCGGCTCCACACCCACCGGGATGCCTGCGGCGGGCTCCTTCGGAGCCTCGCAGACTGCAGACGCCCCCGCCGCCCCCTCGCTCTTATCCGCAACTGCGGGGTGTTACGTTTTTGTATTTTTTCCGGTGCGTTTGTGGACTCGATCGACAGGCCCCCACGGCGACGATGGCGAGTCGCGGCGTTTTCCGTTCTACGAGTTGTTTTTTGTTTTATAAGTTTTCTTTCGGTGTTTATTGTCAGCGTTTGCGTGTTTTCTAAACGCGTTGTTGCGTTTATATACATACATACGCCATTGCACGTGCGCGATGGCGCGATGTGAGCAATGTCCCAGGCAGTTTCGTGCGCGGCAGTTCTTTGTGTTTTTTTCAGCACGTTGTTGGTTGTCTTAGAATTTTTGTTTACGGGCCCTCGGCGGTTGCATTTTTCTCAAGTTGCCAGGGTCCTCCTCTTGGGGCGCATGCACTTGACGACGGTCGTCGGGCCGCAGGCTCTGGAGAGAAGTCTTGCATACATTAAAGGTGATGTGGTGGGTTCGGGGGTGGCCCTGGTCGCCTTCAGAAATGCTACGGAAATCCGGGGCGAGAACCCAGCGGAGACCCATGCCAAGAAACACCCCGCTTGCATCCAGGGTGCCCCGGGTTTCTCGGGGCGATGGTTTTGCGATGGAAAGCGTGGCGTTCCCACACCGACAATCAATGGACGTCCTGGGGATTCAGGGTTGGGTTTCTCGTGGAAGGTTTCTTGTGGTCGAGCCCCTATTGTAGGGGGGAACAGGCATAGGAGGGATGCATCGACCCCCAATCGCCCATTGATCGCCGATAGGGGCCCGATGGCCCCAACCAGGCCGGGAAAGAGCGGATTCATTGTCGGGGCCCTATCGCCGATTTATCGGCGATGTATCGCCGATTCCAGGTCGATGTGTTCCCCCCTATGCCGGTCCCCCCCGACCGTTGCCCCTCAGGAAATAATGGGTACAAAGACCGACAGCAGTCCCTGTTCGTTTTGAGCAGGACTCGCTGTCCGCGTCGCCGCGGACGTTGTTTATTGAAGACAAAAAGTTGCCTCCCCAATAGCGGCCGCTGTCGGTTTTGGAGAGCATCTGATGCTGGGCATTGTACCGATTTTCCCGTACCCAGTTTGGGCGTACACACGGGAGGGGGGTCCGAGGAGTGGAGTTGTGAGAACCCCCACCGCGGAGGGTCCAATCGACGCTGGTCGGGCGGGGCCAGGACGAGGATAGTAAGATCCGTTCCAGAGCGTTCCGGAACGCTCTCTCAGAGCGTTCTGGAACGCTCTGAGAAGGCCGTGGCGCCCGAGACATTATCCAGGGCCGCTGGATCTCATTTTTGTTCCTGATTTATATGTACCATTCTTGACCTGACTTTATTCTCGTCCTGGCTGCGCCTTCCTGGGTGTCGAACGCCCCTAAAAGGCAACGATAGGGCGGGAATACGCACAGGGGGGATGCACCGGCCCCCAATTGCCCACTGATCGCTTGCGGGGGCCCATCGCCGATTTCTCGGCGACGCATCGCCCATTCCAGGTCGATGTTTCCACCCGTATGCCAGTCCCCCCATATCGTTGCCCCTCAGAGTCCGAGGTGTCGAGCTGTGAGAGGCGAAGCTCAATGCAAACGGGGGTCAGGCGGAGGGCCGGAACTTGCAGGATCCTGAACCGTCGAGTGGGTGGTATTGGGGTGCGACTTAGACTGTTGACTCAACAAAGAGGCACTCAATGTGCCCTTCAGGGTCCCTTTTTGAGCCAGCAGGGCCCCTTTTTGGGGCTCTTTTCTTCAGCCCTTATTTGCTTCGTCAGAACGCACCCTGTGGGTAATGTCAGAGGAATGGCAGCACCTGTCGATTGCAAAGGCCTTACGGCCGGCTCCGCCAACCTTGAGAAGAGTTTTTTTTTGAGGTAAGATGCGGAAGGGCGAAAGGGTTCCAGTGGCAGTGGCGGCCTCATTACGAGGGCGAAAATCCAGTGGCCTTCGTCCCATCCCGCCACTGCGCCTGGGTGGTATGGAACGGCCCTGGGGACATCTTGGCGCTTCGTGGGTTGTTTGCGGATTTCTGGTGACCCTTGTTGTCCGCTTGGGTGCATCGTGGGGTCTGCTGGGGGTCATGTCGGAGAGGCTGGCCTCCAGCGGCGCGGCGGGGCCGCGCTTTGGGGCCCCTCTTGGCGCCGTCTTGGGGGCTTCTCGTGGGGGCTTACTCTTAAGTCGGGCCTGTCCCTCTACAGGAAGAGTATCAAAAAATAGTCTGGGGACGATGCTTTGACAACTCTTGACTATGTTGGAACTTTTTTGGGATGTGTTTTATTTTTCGTCCAAAATCCGCCTGTAGGGGGAACCCGCCCGGCCTGAGCTTACTGGGCAGCGCAGGGCTGCTCTGCGGGCTCGTCGTGTACGGAGGGCGGGGCTGCGGAGGAGGACGCGGGAGGGGCCCGCCCGCCGAGGGCCAGCGCAGGCAGGCAGCCTCGGGCACCGAGGGCGGTGCCCGGCAGGAAGCGGAGCGGCGGGCCGAGGCTCAGGTCGGGCGTGTCACTCTGCATGGTGGGCTCGTTTTCCACCACCACCAGAAGTTGGAGGTGGGAAGGAGGACGAGGAGGAAGAGGAGGAGGAGGACGAAGAGGAGGAGGAGGACGAAGAGGAGGAGGAGGAGGAGGAGGAGGAGGACCCCCTCCCCCTCCAACTTATGGTGGTGGTGGTAGAAGACGGGCCCATCACTACAGGGGGAATGCTCAAAAATAGTAAAGAAATCGTAGTGGGAGGATTTTTTGATTATCGTTTGACAATGTTTGAATACTGTTTGATCATGTTTGATTTTCCGCCCAAGATCGGCTTGCAGGGGGGAGGGGACATGCCCGACCGAAGCCCAGCCCCCCTCGCGCTGTGAAAAAGTCACGACGGAGGTTTTTGGCTATGTTCGGCCTCCGGGGCCCTCAGCGGGCCCCGGGACCGTCAACCAGATGTTTCAGGTTGAAGGACCGCTGCAGGGGTCCAGACCTCTGGGGGTCGACGCAGCGAAGAAATCACGACATCGGGGGTCTGGGGGAGGAGCAAGCCGTCGAAGTGGACGACCGGGCGACGGCTTTCGTCGCCACACGTCAGGGCGAAGCCGAATGGCTGGCCCTCCCCCCACCGTCGCACACGCCGACATGGTCGGCCGATTTTCCTTCCCCTTGAGGAGCCACAGTCCAGCGTGACCTCGGCGGCGCATTTGCATGCGAGGGGGCTGGAAGCAGTCGTCGTCCTCGTCCGCGTCCCCGAGGCGTCACGGCTACCATCTTTTGGTGATGTCCTCGGGATTCCGTCTCTGGAGTGCACAATTGTGCGCTAGCGTCAAGCAATCGTCGAGCAAACGCCGAGTTAGCGTCGATTCGCGGCTACGCAGCTTCGATCAGTGTCGATTCAGCGTCGATGGTCGTCGACTTAGCGTCGACCAGCGTCGATGAACGAGAACCAACAGGATGGTATGGGAGGCTCCCCGGAATTGCCACCGAACCGCCTCCTACCCTTTACGGGCCTCTCGGGGCGGTCGGCTCGTACGGATGCGGCTGGGCGCGGCTGGAGGAGCTGGCCAGGGCAGATCCTGGAAGCGGTGTCTGGGCACCTGTCTCTTGGGGGGGGGGCACAGACACGAATAAGCGTCGCTTCCCAGGAAGAGATGGAACATGTGGGAGGCGGAGGGGAAGGCGAAACTCCCGAAAGCACGAGGAGCAGCGTGTGGGGGCTTCTTGAACCCGTGCCTGGTCCTTGGCGTGCCCCCCGGCCCCGTTCGGCCGGGGCGGGCCCTGGGAGCGGTGTCCAGGGACCTCCCGCGTGCGGGGGCGGGGCGCGGGGGAAGGCCTTCCCTCGCCGGGTCGTCCTGGGTGTCCCTCGCCGGGTCGTCGCTGCTCTCGTGATCGTGGCGTGTCGTCCCCTTGCCTCGGCCGCGTCGTCCTGCTTCCGTGGGGGCTGTGCCAGGAGAGCTGCGGCTTTCCCCGTGCCTGCTCGTCGTCGGTCTCTTCGGCCTCCTCCCGACGGGGCGTACAAGAGGGGAGGGGAGGGGAGGGGAGGGGAGGGGAGGGGGGCGAGGGAAGGGACCTCGAGGGGGGGTTGGGGGGGGGGGGGCGCAGTCGAAGGAGAGGCGGAGGTGATTGTGCATCCCTGTTGCGCCCAGGTGCACTTGGCGAGCACACCTGGGGTCTGTGAGCACTTGGGACATTTTCTCTTTGCGCGCATATTATTTGAATGGTGGTGGGGTGGGGCGGGGGGGGGGGTGCAGGGGGAAGGGGAGAGCGCGGGCGACAAGGGAGAGGGGGAGGGGGGGCCGCGGTGCGGGGAGGGGGAGGAGGAGGAGCGGCGGCATGGGGGAGGGGGGGCGGCGGTATGGGGGGGGGGGTCAAGACTCCCTCCCCGCCCGCAAGCCGTTTCGCTCACTCCCACCCGCCCTCCCAACACATAAGTAGCACCCGAGCCTGGCCCGAGCCGCAGCATATGCAGCAGTCGTCTTTCGATGGGCAGCTAATGGGGGCCAAGCCGCCGCCTCCGCCGCCGCCGCCGCCCGCCGCCGCCGCCGCTGTCCGCCGCCGCCGCCGCCACCGCGCCGCCCGCCGCCACCGCCGCCGCCGCTGCCGCGCCGCCGCCGCCGCCCCCCCCGCTGCCGAATCGCCGCCGCAGCCGCTGCCGCCACCGCTGCCGCCGCCGCCGCCGCTGCCGCCGCCGCTGCCGCCGCCGCCGCCACCGCCGCCGCCGCCGCCGCAGCCGCCGTAGCCGCTGCCCCCGCCGCAGCCGCCGCAGGCGCCGCCGCCGCCAAGTGTATTCTGTATTGTTTTTGGCGGATGGTGGGGGGAGGCCGCATCGGGTTCTCTGCGCACGCCCCGAATTTGGAGGCAGAGTGTGTGTTTGTACTGTTTTTTACAAGAGATGGTGGGGGGGCGCATGGTCTCGGGTTGGCTCCCAGTCGCCTGGCGGAAGGGGTGTATATTAATAGGGAACAATGGTCAAGTTAGCTAGCTCGAACCGAGCGAGCCGGAGGGCTCCGTCCACTCCCACCCGCCCTCCCACAACACGAGAAGCATGTGCGTCGCGTCCGACGTTTGTCGCTCATCTTATATCGTGGGCGGCTAAACGTTCAGCGCGCGACATGAGCTGCGTCCTATTCCTGCCGTGTATTGAGCAACGTCGACGAGAAATAAAGCCGCGCGTGACGTACGTCCGCCCAGCTCCTCAACCCGACGGGCCGCAGCGTCGACGACAAGAAAGTCTATGTTGACGAGCAGGCGTCCCCGCGCGATGTGCGCCGCGTCCAGGCGAGGCGCCCGCGCGCGATGCGCGCCGCGTCCAATTGCTGCTACATTTTCGCAGCGTCGACGACAAGAAAGTCCATGCGGACGAAAAAAATTGCGTTGTATTGTGGTTTGGTGGGTAGGACGCGACCGCCCGCTTCGGGTTCCCCAACCGATGCCCATTCCGTCCCATCCTTGTTGCACTGCTCGCCACTCGATGACATGTTGGCGAGCAAAAGTTGAGTTTGTATTGTTTTTGACAGTTCGGGCGGCGGGTTTGCTATCGGCCGGCTAGGTGGGGTTTGGGGGTGCTTAGTCAGAGGAAGTAAGGATATGGGGCACGGGCGATGGGCAAGCCAGGTGCATTCGCGTTATATATATATATATATATATATATATTATATATATATATATATATATAATATATATATATATACCGGGGAGCGGGACCTGGGGCCGCCAGATTGGTGCCTCGGACCCCCAATGGGGGCCACGGGGCTCACTTTCCCTGTGTTTTTTTACAGGGCTTCGGCGTTCCAGGGACTCCGAGGGAGGCCGCCAGGAGTGGGCCTGCGCCCCCTGGGGGCTCCGGGGCTCACTTTCCTTGTGTTTTTTAGAAGGTTTCCGCGTCGTGGGCCTCGGAGGCCGCCGCCTCCGACCCACCGTGGGGGGACGGGGCGGCCGGGGAAGTCCAAAATAGTCCAGGAGGGCCTCCAGAGGCTCCAAGACGGCCCAAGCGGGCCCCGAGTCGCCGAAAGACCGCTCCAGGACGTCCAAGATAGGCCTAAGACGGCCCGAGAGGCCCCCCAAAGCACTCCACGACGCTTCAAGACGCTCGCTCCTCCAGAGCGCTTCAAGAGACCGGAATCGTCAATTGTACGAAGGTTTTCGAACGAGTTTGGCCTTCCAGCCTTTTCGGCCGTCCGACGTCCAAGACTGCTCAATAGGCCCCCAAGAGCGCCCCAAGACGGCCCCCAAGAGGGCCCCAAGACGGCCCCAGAGTCGCCCAAGACAGCCCAACAGAGCCCCAAGACGGCCCCAAGATGCGCCCAAGAGGGGGACCGGGGGACCACGACTCTAAAATTCGACCCTCCCGCTTGAAGAGTGCCCCAGGAGGCCCCAAGGAGCCCCCAAGAGGCCCCAGGAGGCCCCCAAGAGGCACCCAGGAGGCCCAAACGATGCCTAAAGAGGCCACAAAACAGCCCCGAGGAGGCCCCACAACGGTCCCAAAACGGCTTCCGAGAAGCTGTGAAACTGCCTTCACGACGTCCCCGACAGGCCAACCACGAGATCCAAACCAACACCCATGAGGCCTCTGACCCACCACCCAGGGCACGGTGGCGGGAGCAGTGACAGCACTTGTGCACAGCATGTTCCGGCGGGAGCCTTCCGGAACACGCTGCAGGAGGAGGAGGAGGAGGAGATCAGGAGGAGAGAGAGTTGGAGTGGGAGGAGGAGGAGGAGGAGGAGGAGGAGGAGGAGGAGGAGGAGGACGAGGAGGAGGAAGAGGCCTCCAAGACAGCTCCAAGATAGCCGAAGAGGCTTCCAAGAGGGCCCTGGGCGGCCCACGAGGGCCCCAAGGCGGTGCCTGAGGCGCCCAAGACGGCCCGAGAGGGCCCCAAGACGGCCCCAAGAGAGGCCCATGAAGGGAAACACGAACTGAGAATCCGAGCTTCCTACCCCGAGAGGTTCTCGGGAAGTCCCAAGAGGCCCCCAATCGGATCCAAGAGGCCCCCAAGAAGCTCCCAAGAGGGCCGACGAGGTTGCAAGAGATCTCCCAAGGTGGCCCCAAGAGGCACAACTCATTGTTTTACGATTGGGCTTTGACGGGTTTGAATTTTGTCGGCCTTTTGGCATCCCGATGCTCCAAGACGGCTCAAGAGGCTTCCAATACCGATCCAATATAGAGGAAGAGGCCTCCAAGAGGGCCCCAAGACGGCCCGCGAGGGCCCCAAGACGGTGCTTGAGGCGCCCAAGACGGCCCGAGAGGGCCCCAAGAGCCCCAAGAGAGAAGGGGAACGCGACCCAGCAGCAGAGCGTTCCCCCCGAAAGGCCCACAGGAGGCCGCAAGAGGCCCCCAAGTGGTCCGACGAGGACCCCAAAAGCTTCCCGAGGGCCCAAAATGCCCCTAGGAGACGTCCAAGAGGTTTTAAAATAGCCCAAGAGTGCCCTCGATGCGTCAAAACTGCTTCCAGGAAACCCCCGGGAGGCTTCCGGATTGCCTCAATCTGGCCGCAGGTGGCCTCAAGTCGGGCCTCCACGCAGCCAAGACGGCCAATGACGGCTTCAGATTGCAGAGCCGATGCCCCCAAGGGACCCTCAGACGCCCCCCAAGAGGCACCCAAGAGGTGCCTCCAACAGCCTGTTCACGAAGCATGCGGAACACCCCAGAAGCTCCTCAGATGCCGTCGCGCGCCTGTGCTTGATAGCGTTGTCCAAGATCGTCCAGCGCTCCCCCAGCCTGGGCTAGAACCTGAGCGCGCGCGAAGCGCGCGCGATGGTTCTAGTATATATATATATATATACAAGTGGCACGTGTGTGCCCAGGCTCATACAAAAAACTGAAGGGGCGTTTGAAGCAGGAGTGAAATGCAACATCGAAGTCGCACTCGAGCGCAAGTGGGGTTGCCACACCTTGCGATGTGTGTACCAGGGCCCCCAGGAAGCCTTAGGAGGCCCGACTTGGATACCAGAAGAGGCTCCAGGAGGCCCCAGGATTGTGAGTGTTGTGCGTGTGTGTGTGTGTGTGTGTGTGTGTGTGTGTGTGTGTGTGTGTGTGTGTGTGTGTGTGTGTGTGTGTGTGTGTGTGTGTGTGTGTCTGTGTGTGTGTGTGTGTGTGTGTGTGATGTATGCTTCGTGTGGTGCGTGCTTTTTGTGTGTTGTAGGTGTTGTGTGTGTGTGTGTGTATGTTTGTCTAGCGTGTGATGTGTTGGGCGTGATTTGTGTCTCTGTGTGCATGTAGTTCTGAAGCCCCAGGAGGCCCCAGGCGGCGGCCTCAGGAGGCCCCAGGAGACCCCAGGAGGCTTCAGGAGGCCCCAAGAGGCTCCAGGAGGCCGCAGGAGGCCCCAGGAGGCCCCAGGAGGTTTCAGGACACCCCCAGGAGGCTCCGAGGCGGGGTCTGGGGTGCCAGAAGGTTCAGAAGGCCCAGGAGGCCCCAGGAGGTTCCAGGAGGCCCCCAGGAGGCTCCGAGGCGGGGTCTGGGGCTCGATTTTGGAAGGATTTTTCAAGCGAAACCGCCATTCACTGAGAATCGGGGTCACAATTATTGAAATTACCATGTGTTTTTGAAGGTTTTATGTTAAAATGTTGAATTTCCCATGTGTTTTTGGACCCTGACGTCGCGATCTGCGTGAGGGGTGCCACCGATTTTCAAAATTTCGAGGATGTCCCGAGCGAAACGCCCAGAACAATCGCGGACGCGTGCGCATTAATCGCCTCTGAGCTCTACTCCCTCGGAGAGGTGCGTATGAGAATATATATATATATATATATATACACACATATATGGCGTCCGAGGCGTCCGACCCCTTTCCTCCCATCTTTTACCATGGCGTAGATCATCTCTCCATTCGCACAGTCGGACGTCGAGCAGGGCAACGATCCCGGGAGGGTGCGCGATGGATCGTAGCGCACGGCGTAGCATTGCGTAGAAGATCACCGCTGAGTGTAGCATGGCATTGCGAAGTGAATCACTGCATCACAAAATATATCAACACTGGCATCGCTCAGCGGCACAGAACACAACACCGCGCTGCATGTCATAGCATGGCGCCGGGTTCTTTGGAGGGTAAATTAATCGTATTCGAGAGGTCTGGGCCTGTGTGATGTTGCGGCTCCATGTTCAGCTCCGTGGGCTTCCCGGAAAGCTCCCCACGAGGCAGGGCTGATGGAGAGAACCATTTCTGCTTCCAACATCGCCTTCTCAAAGCAGAAACGGGCTCCCTCCTGATACTTCCTCAACACGACGACGCCCCCAAATAGGGTGGGGCCTTCTGCGGCCCCACAAATCAACGAATCGACACCTGATGCGCAATCACCTGCAATGGTTTTGATTGTTTTACACCTGGGTCCACTTGGAAGGACGAGAAACGTCCGCGCTGCAGCGGTAGCGCGATTTGGAACGACCAGAATCCGGAACGCGCGAAAGCGCTGAATTGAGGCCAGCGCTGCAGCGGGAACTCGATTCGGAACGAAGCAACATTTCGAACACAAAAAACCAAACGAAAACCATTTCCCAAGAATTCGGTGTGTAAGGGGATTGTATGCAGAAGGGGGGCCCGATATCTCTCGGACGGCGGTATGGGGGGGGGCCGCGGTACGGCAGGTTCGGGTCGTGTCGACGAGGCAGCGGCCCCGCCGCGGGCGTTCAAGGTTGAACGCCACCAGTGGCCCATAATCGGCCGGTACGGGTCGACCCGGCGATCGGAACGCTGCCGAAGGTTGAACGATCCCCGCGGTGTCGAAAACCACAGCCAGGGTCGTCACGACATGGACATGCCGTCTGGGGGGAGGAGGGACGGCGCGAAGGGGGGGGAGGGAGAGGGACAGAGGGGGCAAGAGGGGAGAGGGGGAAGGGCCAAGCGAGGTGCGATCGCGCCATGTCTGACATCCTGCCCCTCCCACCCATCACTTCCCCTTGTGCTGTTTCTGTCTCTATCCGCCAACGCGTGTTACTGCGGACCTGGAGCTCCGAAGAGGACCTCATTGTGATTTGCGCAATGAATGAGCAGGAGGAGGAGGAGCAAGAGGAGGAGGAGGAGGAGCAGGAGGAGGAGGAGGAGGAGGAGGAGGAGGAGGGAGGAGGAGGAGGAGGAGGAGGAGGAAGAGAGAGGAAGAGGAAGAGGACGAACAGCAGCAGGCAGCAGCAGCAGGAGAAGCAGGAGCAGCAGGAGCTGGAGTAGAGTGCAAGAGCGGGGCGGGGAGGGAGGGAGAGGGCGGATCAAGGAAGCGGGCGAGGCGGGAGCGGGCGGGGGGGGTGGGGGGAGGCGGGGGGGACGGGGGGGGAGGAGGGGGGGGGAGGTCGCAGATGGGGGGGGGAGAGGGGAGGGAGACGGGAAGCGAGGGCGGCCGAGGGAGAGGAGGGCGGAGAGGAGCGGCAGGGCAGGGCCGGGGGGGTGGAGTGGCGGTGCGAGCCCGGGGGATGCTCACTCGAGCGGGCGGGCTGGATCGCCCCGGCGGGCAGGTCGGGTGGGCGGGGCGCCAAAGAGCGGGCGTGCCGGCCTGGAAAGCAAGGGCGCGGGCAGGCTCTGACCAAGGGCCCCCTCGAGGGCACGAAGTTGTTCGCGTTTCGCGGTTCGGTTCCGACCTTTGTCATCGTTCTCTTCCTCGCAGGCCTCGAGGTTGACACCAACACCAAGATCAGCGGTGTGCCTTCACCGAGGGAAGAACATCCCGATCTCGGTGATGGTGGTAATATTCTGGCTTTCAGGGTGACTGAAGTATTACCACCAACACCGACATCGAGGATCACCTTCCCCCTGTGGAGGCAACCCCCTGTCTTGGTGTTGGTGCCCATTTCCAGGCCTCCAACTTCCTCCCTAGGGGGGGGCGGCGCGAGAGCGTGAAGTGAGTCGCGCTTCGCGCAGCGCGAGGCGCGAAGTCAGGCGCCCTTGCTGACGGGGGCGGGCGGGCGGGACATTGCAGAGGGCGGGCGGGTTCTCGCGCAACCAGAAGGAGCGGATCGGGCTGTCGGACCCCGACAAGCAGGCAGGGCGGTCGGGTCTGGCGGACCCCGTTGGGCGGGTCGCGCGGGCGGGCCGGGCGGACCTTGAGGGGCGGGCCGTGCGGGCGGATCCTGGCGGGAGGGGCGAAGAGCGACGACGACGACGACGACGACGAGTGACGATGACGACGACGACGACGAGTGACGACGACGACGACGAATGACGATGACGACGAGCAGCGACGACGAGGAGTTACGACGAGCGACGACGACGACGAGTGACGACGACGATGATTGACGATGACGGTGACGAAGACGCCGGGCGACGACGACGACGAGCCACGATGACGCGGACAACGAGTTGCGACGACGCGACGACGAAGCCGACAACGACCAGTGACTGCGGGGTGGGGGGTCGACGACAAGGGACGAGTACCGACGAGTGACGACAGCGTCCGCGAACGACGGCTATCAGAGGAGTCACGACGACGTCGAATGACGACGACGACGACGACGGCGGCGACGACGACGACGACGACGACGGACGACGAAGAGTGATGACGACGAGTGACGAGCGACTACGAGTCACGACCATGACGACGGCGACGAAAGCGAGGGCGAGGGCGGAGAGAACGTGCAAACGAGAAAAAGATAAAAAGAGAGAGAGAGAGAGAGAAAGCAGGGAGGAGCAGAGAAAACGTGAGAGTCAGAAAGAGGGAGAGAGAGAAGAGGCGGGAGGGGGAGGCTTGCGTGCATGGAGGGGGAGGGAGTGCACGGGGAGGGACTGCGAGGGAGGATGCAGAGAGTCACGGGGGGGGGAGAGAGAGGTGGAGAGGGAGGGGGGGGGTTCCCGCACCCCCTCGGGTCATGCAACAAGCCTGACAGAAGTTTTTCGCTGTCTTTGGCCTCCGGGGGCCCTTGCCTCTCTTCGGGACCGTCCATAAAAAAGGACTCGGCACGAGAAGCCCGGTCCTGCGGAACGGGCCGAGGCCTCCCGACGTTCTGGAACAAATCATGGAATCGGGGGTCTGGGCGTGAGATGCAGGAGGAGGAGGAGGAGGAGGAGGAGGAGGAGGAGGAGGAGGAGGAAGAGGAGGAGGAGGAGGAGGAGGAGGAGGGGAGGGCGCATCGAGGAAGGGGGGGATCGAGGCCTTTGGGCGTGCTGGAGATCCCCCCTGCGTGGGGGGGGGGGTCCAGCAGCGCTCTGTCGACCTCCCCGCCTCCGTCCCCCCCCGGGGGCGCTGCCCGGGAAGATCAGGAAGGGAAAAACACACACGGACAGAAGTAATCGTCGATCCCCAGAACATATAGGGGAAGGGGGGGAAGGCAAAAACCCAGAAAACATAGGAACATTCAGGGAGTCTTGTTCTTTATGTTTATTTATTTGTGTGTCTCTGGGCCCCTGTGGGCTGTCGCCCCCCCCTGCCCCCATCCCTCCCCGGGGGCGCTGCCTGGGGAAGAGAGCAGCTTCTGTGGGCTGCCGCAGTGGTTCCGTGCGCCCAGCATGAAGTCGGGCCTGTCCCCTTACAGGGGGAAGTTGCAAAAGTAGTCAAAAAAAGAGTCAGGGGACGAATGTTCGATTATTTTGGGGCATGTTTAGCTTTTGTTCGTCCAGAGTCCGCCTGTAGTGAGAACACGCCCGACTTCAAGCCCAGCAGGTGGCGGACGCCGACGCGGCAGAAGACCGCCCGCCAGCGGGGGGCACCGCGGGAGACGCTCGGCGGCTGGCCACGCTCGAAGAAAAAAACGCCCCGCGCCCTTCGCAGTCGCGAGCCCTCTCTGATGGGCCTGTTTTCCACCACAACCACCACCACCATAAGTCGGAGGGGGAGGGGGTCCTCTTCCTCCTCCTCCTCCTCCTCCTCCTACTCCTCCTCTTTCTCCTCCTTCTCCTCCTCCTCCTCGCTTCCTCTTCCTCTCCTTCGTCCTCCTCCTCCTCCTCCTCCTCCTCCTCCTCCTCCTCCTCCTCCTCCTCGTCCTCCACCTCCTCCCCCCCTCCAACTTATGGTGGTGGTGGTGGAAAACAGGCCCATCACTCTCGCGGAAACGGGTCTCGTGGGTCTTCGAATGTTTTTGGAATGCTTTTGGGCTGTCGGGGCCTCCGTCGTTGCCATGGCTGGACGTGGTCCCAGAAGAGGGGCCCAGATGGTGCCGGGGAGGGTTGATCTTGAGCGGTTCTCCACCGGGTGGACCTGGACATCCGGAACTCGTGAAACAGGGCTTTGCGCTTGTTTGCCCCGTTTCGGGCACCGGGACAGTTTCGGGATAGATGCATCTCGAAAGTGAGGCACAGGCTTGGTCCAGTGGTCTGGTAGTGATCTGTCGTGAAGTTGCTACCTTGATGAAGACGGAGGACGTTGTGGTCCAGAGGTCTTCTGTGGGTGGGCCCAAATCTTGGCGGATGCCTGCCCAGCCATGAGACCAGACGCGGTGATTATACGAGAGGGGAGTTGCTTTTCCCAAACCTTCCTTGGTTGGGTATTCCTTGTGACTAGAGCAGTGCGGTCGCGTCTCCTCCTCCTCCTCCTCCTCCTCCTCCTCCTGCTCCTCCTCCTCCTCCTCCTCCTCCTCCTCCTCCTCCTCTCGCCTCCCGCCTCCTGCCTTGTGCGTACCTCTTGTGTGTGCATCTTGCCTGCTGTACCTCTTGTGTGTGTGTGTGCATCTTGCCTCGGCGGCTGCGATTTGCGAAACCGTCGCCACTTTCGAGAGCCGCTGCGGGGGCCAGCATAGTAGGCAGCCGCCGCGAACCCAAATTAGACCTCGCCATCCCTGGGGGGCTGCGATTTGCGAAACAGTCGCCACTTTCGAGGGCTGTTGCTTGGGGGGGCCAGCATAGTGGGTAGCCGCCGCAGACCCAAATTAGACCTCGCCATCCCTGGGGGTGCTCCGATTTGCGAAACCGTTGCCACTTTCGAGGGCTGCTGCTTGGGGGGGCCAGCATAGTGGGTAGCCGCCGCTGACCCAAATTAGACCTCGCCATCCCTGGGGGGCTGCGATTTGCGAAACCGTCGCCACTTTCGAGGGCTACTGGGGGGGACAGCATAGTGGGTAGCCGCCGCGGACCCACATTAGACCTCGCCATCCCTGGGGGGCTCCGACTTGCGAAACTGTCGCCACTTTCGAGGGCTGCTGCTTGGGGGGGCCAGCGTAGTGGGTAGCCGCCGCGGACCCAAATTAGACCTCGCCATCCCTGGTGGGCTGCGCTTTGCGAAACTGTCGGCACGTTCGATGGCGACTGGGGGGGACAGCATAGTTAGTGGGTAGCCGTGGCAAGCCCGACTTAGACCTCGCCATCCTTGGTGGGCTGCGATTGGCGAAACAGTCGCCATTTGCGAGGGCTGCTGTGGGGGACAGCATAGTGGGTAGCCGCCTCGGGCCCAAAGATGACCTCGCCATCCCTGGGGGGTGCGATTTGCAAACTTGTCGCCAATTCCGAGGGCTGCTGGGGGGGACAGCATAGTGGATAGCCGTCGCGGACCCAAATTAGACGTCGCCACCCCTGGGGGGCTGCGGTATGCGAAACCGTCGCCACCTTCGAGGGCTGCTGGGGGGGACAGCATAGTGGGTAGCCGCCGCAGACCCCAATTAGCTTTCGCCATCCCTGGTGGGCTGCGATCTGCGAAACCGTCGCCACGTTCGAGGGTTGCTGGGGGGGACAGCATGGTGGGTAGCCGCCGCAGATCCAAATTAGACCTCGCCAGCCCTGGGGGGGGGCTGCGATTTGCGAAACCGTCGCCACTTTCGAGGGCTGCTGGGGGGGGCAGGGCATCCGCCGCAGATCCAAATTAGACCTCGCCATCCCCGGGAGGCTGCGATCTGCGAAACCGTCGCCACTCTCGAGGGCTGCCGGGGGGGGGACAGCATGTAGTTGATCCAAATTAGATCTCGCTATCTCTGGGGGGCTGCGATTTGCAACATTGTGGCCATACTCGAGGGCTGCTGGGGGGACAGCATAGTGGGCAGTCGCCGCGGGCCCAAATTAGACCTTGTCATCTCTGGGGGTGCTGCGATTTGCGAAACCGTTGCCACTTCGAGGGCTGCTGGGGGGGGCATAGTGGGTGGTAGCCGCCGCAGATCCACATTAGACCTCGCCATCCCTGGTGGGCTGCGATTTGCGAAACCGTCGCCACTTTCGAGGGCTGCTTGGGGAGCCAGCATTGCGGGTAGCCGCCGCAGGCCCAACTTAGACCTCGCCATCCTTGGGGGGCTGCGATCTGCGAAACTGTCGCAACTTTCGAGGGCTGCTTGGGGGGACAGCCTAGTGGGTAGCCGCCGCTGACCCAAATTAGACTTCGCCATCCCTGGGGGCTGCGATCTGCGACACACTGTCGCCACTTTCGAGGGCTGCCAGGGGGGAGCATAGTAGGTGGTAGCCGCCGCAGGTCCACATTAGACCTCACCATCCCTGGGGGGCTGCGATTTGCGAAACTGCCGCCACTTTCGATGGCTGCTGGGGGGCAGCATAGTGGGTAGCCGCCGCGGGCCCAAAGTAGACCTCGTCATCCCTGGGGGGCTGCGATCTGCGAAACAGTCAGCACGTTCGAGGGCTGCTCGGGGGCCAGCACAGTGGGTACCCGCTGCAGATGCAAAGTAGACCTCGCCACCCCTGGGAGAGGAAAGGGGGGCTGCGATTTGTGAAACAGTCGCCACTTCCGAGGGCTGCTTGGGGGCCAGTATAGCGATCTGGGAAACCGTGACCACTTTCGAGGGCTGCTGGTGGGTCCAGCGGGGTGAAGCACCGCGCAGATCTGAGCAATACCTCGCCGTTCCTGGGGGGGGGCTGCGATCTGCCAAACCTTCGCCACTTTCAAGGGCTGCTGGCGGGTCCAGCGGAATGTGGCACCGCGCAGATCTGAGGGGGACCTCGCCGTCTTTAGGGGCCCTGCGATCTGCGAAACCGTCGCTACTTTTGAAGGCTGGTGGCGGGTCCAGCGAAGTGAGGCACCACGCAGATCTGAGCGGGACCTCGCTCGCGAGCCTCACGAATGCCGCTCGCAGAAGTATCTGTGCCCATGTCACGTCATCACTTCCGTATACCGTCTCCCAAGCTACTCATGCCCCGCATTGCGCAGGGGTTGGGTACGTCGCCAGGGTAACCATGTTTCATTGTGTGCGTGCTCATACGTATGTGCACGGAGGTGATGGCGCAATGTCTTGGGTGTCGCGTTGAGGTGTTACTACTATTCGGACTTGTGTTTGCCTTCGTGTTGTATTTACATGTGGAAAGGCATATGTTTTGTTATCAAAGGCCTTGTCTTCAAAATGTACAGTTGCAGTGTAATTGATCCGCTTACTATACATACACATATCTCTATGCTCCAAAGGTTACGGTCGAACGTGTGGCTTGCGAATGTGGGGTAATACACGTTGCTTTTGTGCCGGGGTTCGCGCTCGGAGGCAGAACAGCAGTCAGATGCAGAATGGCCGGGCTTGGTATGGGTTGTTTGGTGTTGGCAGTTGTCTTGCACCTTCACACTTTACTATTCGTGTGCCGCTGAGTTTGCGTAAGGCTCGTTATGTACCACCAGATGGATGCCATACAGTCGGGGCCCTCAAGAAGGAACGTGGACCCCTGACACCTTGTCCGAGGTGACGCTGGAAAGATCTCGGCACTGGTTTGGGCGTTCAGTGGGGTCAGACAAATTGTGAGTTCGGGATTCCCCATTGACGAAACACGTGCCTTGTCAATATTTTTGGTGGGGGCGCTGTTGTGGGTGGAGGAGGAGGAGGAGGAGGTGGACGTGGAGGAGGAGAAGGGAGAGGAGGCTGACTTCCAAGGCTGAGCCATCGTGGGGCTTCTTGGGTTTTCCTGGGGGGCAGGTGGAGGCGGAGGAGGACGAGGAGCAGGAGGAGGAGGAGGAGGAGGAGGAGGAGGAGGAGGAGGAGGAGGATAACGTGACTTATGATGATGCGGAGGAGGAGGAGGGGGAGGAGGAGGAGGCGCTTCTCCTGAGACTTCCCAGGGTGAGCCATTTGGGAGCTGATGGGGGGACACTTTGGAACTGCTTGGAGGCCTCTTGGGGCCCTGTTGGACTGCCGTGCTGGTGCTACCTAGTCCGTCCTGGGCCTATGTCAGCAGTGTTGACGGACTTGAGGGGCGCTCTTGGGGCTTTCTTGGCTGACCCTTTTGAGCAGTCTGAGGGCTGTCTTGGGGGCATCTTCGGCAATGTGGGGCCGTATTGGGGCTCTTTTGGGAGCCTCGTGGGTTGTTTTCAGGCCATCTTGGAGGCATCCTGGACCGTCGTAAGCTTCTGAAGCCTGAGAAGGGGAGAACTTGAACATCTTCCAAACATTTGGGGAAGCCGCGAACGTTGGGCAGATGGAGGTCCTCTGGGACGTCCTCTTGGAGGCTGCTGTCATTGTCCTGAGGCCAGATTGGGCGTCTTGTGGCTCTCTGGGGCTGGCCTGGGCCTCTGAGGCCCTCTTCGGAGTGTCCTGCCCGCAAGGGGGGGGCAAATCCCTCCCACCGTGTCGCGCATCGGGTACTGCTCCGCCTTGGGCCGCTGCTTCCGTTGCCCTCCTTGCAGCCGCCGCCCTCGCCCCCGCCGTCGCCCTCGCCGCAGTGCGCACCCCTCGCCCTCGCCGTCGTCCTCGCTGCCGCCCCCGCCGCCCTCGCCGCCGCCGTCGTCCTCGCCAACCGCCGCCAGGGGCCCCGCGCGGCCGGCCGTGGCCGCGGCCGCGGCGGCGCGGCGGCCGCAGCGGCGCCGCGGGGGCAGCGGCGGGGCGCCGGCACGCCGCAGGTGGGGCCGCGGCGCGCCCGTCGGCGCGCCGTCGGTGGCTCGTCGGTTGTCGGTCGCGGCCGCTTGCCGTCGGCGCTCGTCGGTCGTGGTCGCCGCTCGTGCAGGCCGCTCGAGGGTCGTCGTCGGTCGCCGTGAGGCCGCCGCGCGGGCTTCGAGAGGTCGTCGTGGTCGGTGATTCGTCGTGGGCGCCGTCGTGATTGTCCCCCACGTTGTGCGTCGGTTCGCCGCCGTCGCCGTCACTGTTGTCGGCGTCGTTTCCTCCACCTCCGCCTGCCCCCTCCTGGCTTCTCCCCTTACACCTCCCCCTCCCCCGTGTCGGTTTCCACATGTCCTCCGCCTCCCTCCTCCTCCGCCTCCTCCTGTTCCTCCTCCTCCTCCTCCTCTTCCTCCTCCTCCTGCTCCTGCTCCTCCTCTTCCTCCACCTCCTCCTCCTCCTTCTCCTCCTCCTCCTCCTCCTCCTCCTCCTCCTCCTCCTCGTCCTCACTCAAGTACGAGAGGTCTTCGCTGTTTGGCCCGAACGTCGGAGCATATTTTTTGGTTGTATGTTTAGTAAAAGCCCCGCGATCTACATCTTAGTTCCGCCATGCTTTCTCTCGTACAGCTTCCAACCCCCGCAATTCTAATTTGTAGCGGGGTGGGGAGCGATCCCAGCTCGCGATTCACGGAGCGTGCGAAGAGTGCGGTGTGGACGCACATTTACAATTATATGCATTTCCGCATCGGTACCACCCTCCATTCCTTGAGCAGCCTGTGCTCATGGCTTTTCTGCGGACGGCCAGCAAGTCGCCTCGGACACCCGATCCGACTGCGAGGGCGACAGCAGAAGGCGTAACCGCGGTGAGAAGCGAATCGCCCACTGGAGCGCCACGACGTTCCTCGACCCATCGCGACTTCACACGCACTGGCCGTAGCTTTGCGCTGGGCATGAATGCGAGGCTCCTTCCTGGGCTAGCGTCGACCACGCGTGAGAGTGAGCCCTCGCCAAAGTGACTTGTTTGGTGCTGACCCCCAGGTGGTCGGGTGATTTAGCTTGTTGGATGAGCTTGGCCTCGCGTCGAAACCCGTATTGCGCGGTTGCGTTCGGATCTGAGTTTGCCAGGTTTGGGCCTTTCTTTTTGCAATCGGCAGCAACGCGTACGCGGCGCACCTCGCAGTGTGCATTGATTTCCCGACGGGGAGTCGGTGGACCGAACGGCGCGTTTCCCGCCCCAGGACCAGTGCCGAATCTTCGCCCAAATCTCGAATCGTTTTCTTGGTGGATATATTTTGAAATATTTGAATAATGTCGAATACGGTTTAATAGTTGTTTGAACCAATCCGTGTCTAATTATTGCCAGTTACCCAAAGATATTGAAACAGATGCTGGCCGTGCGATTGGGGCGGGGCTAGTGTTTAGGCCATGGCGCCAGACCCGGTCAGACGTCATCGCGACGCGGCCCGGCGCTGCCAGACTTCATCGCCGTGGCCTCCTGCAGTTTTTTCCGCAACGTCTATACGGGGCGTTCGGTCGTTTTCAAAAAAAACGTGGGCACGTTTTGAGGCTCGCGCAAGCGCCCCTTGGTGTCCGGAGTCCTCCGAAGCCGTGTTCTTGTGATGCGTGGGCTCATAGATCTCGACTCCTTCATTGGGGAACCAGTTTTTCGTCCCGATGCGTGCTTGATGACCATGGATAGCCGAAAACGGCCGCAGGAGGCCCCGAAATGTGAATCATTGTCGCGCCAGCGACGCCAGCGAAAGCGTTCAGGATTCAAGAGACGGGGGTCAATGGCAACGGGGGTCAGCCAGAACGCCGGATCATGCAGGATCCTGCAGAGCCAGGGTTGCACTGACCCGGGCTTGGGTGCAGGATCCTGCAAGATCACGCGGGATTCTGCAGGATTTTGCAAGGCCTCACTGACCCGGTTTTGGATGGACCCGAGTCAATAAGTCCCCGTGTGCAAGGTCGAAGTCTAACGCCTTTGCGCGCGTTCTCGCTTGAACGATCTAGTTACGCCTGTTCGTCAGTCACGCCACAGGACCCGATGGAGTTCAACCTCGAACGATCGGGGCCGCGACCGATTCAAGGTTGGACGGTCGACGCGGTGTCGAAAACCTTTGCGCGCGCCGACGCTGCTCGAACCCACCGTTTGTTTGTTCGCCTCCGTGCCCGCAGCCCTCCCCGAAGTCCTGCCTGCGGGCCTCCGAGGGCCGCGGCCCTTCCGCGCGCCCTGGCGCGAGGCGTTCTCCGAGAGCGTCCCCGCCACCGAGGAGGATGCCGCGTCGTCGTCGCCGTCGCTGCTGTCGTCGGCCGCCGTCGTCGATCGAGCGCGGCCACGCGCAGAGGGGGCCAGGGGCAGGGGGGAAGGCTTCCCAGAAACGCCCTGGCTCCTCAGGAGGCGCGGGCCGCGCGTGCAGATGGAAGGCCGGCGCCTTCTAAAAAGCGGCCGCTTTCTAAATTGCACCAGGGAAAAACCCAAATCAATGGATGGTTTTCGATAAAAAGGGGGTCGACCGGGAACACGGGAACCCAGAACCCACCGAAATCGGCCGGGATCCAATAATCAGGAACCCGGGAACCTGGAATTGGGAACCCGGGAACCCAGCCGGCTACCAAAATCGGCGGGACATTTTCGCCAAATCTTCCACTTCTTTCCGCCAGGACCCCTTCAGTGCAAGCACTGATTGGGGAAAAAGCCTTCCCCCCTCCCCCATACCCCCCTGTGCGCGCCGTCATAAGACGACGCGTCGTCGCCGTCGCTGCCGTCGTCGGCGGGCGTAGTCGATCGAGCGGTGCAGCCTTAGTTTAAGTCGGGCCTTTCCCTCCACAGAAAGAATATTCAAAAATAGTCAAGAAATAGTCATGGGACGATTTTTTCAAAAGTATGTGTTGACTATTTTGGAATATTTTTGGGGTCTTTTTTAAAATAGGTTTCGCCTAAAATCTCCCTGTGGGGGGACACGCCCGACCTCAGCTTTGGTGCCTCGGGCCTTGCCCGGTGCGCTCCCGGCGCTCTGTGGGGCCCACGGGTGCCTCCGAGGGCCTCCCGCGCGGCCCCCGCGGCTGCGGCGCGCGTTCCCGTCCGCCAGCTCGTGCTGTTCCGTGCTGGCGTCGAACCGGGGCGACGGCCGCGCTGCGGGAGGCCCGCATCGGGCCCCCGGGGGTCGTCGAGAAACGGCCATGGGCGACGGTTGTGCGTGCAAGGCGAGGTCGATCAGTAATTATCGTTATTCCGACCCCCATCCCCATCCTCGTCCCTTTCGATGCCCCCCACCAAATTGCCTCCCCAGTTGGGGATACACCCCTCGAAACCAGCAGGGAACGACCTATGTTCCCATCAGGGGGGGAAGTCGGCCAGCGGGGCCCACGCCACGCCGCTGGGGGGGGATCGGTGAGAGGATACTCAGGGGCGACGGCCGCTTGTTATAAAGTGCTGCGCTGCCGGAGGTCCGCCTCGGGCCCCCGGGGTCGCCGGAAAACGGCCATGGGCGACAGGTGTGCGTGCAAGACGATCGGGTCTAGCCAGGACCCCGGGTAAGGGGACCCGGTCAGCAGTATGGCCCCAGGGCCCCTAAATTGGCCAGGCCAGAATCAATAAACCAGGTCTGCCGTAGCTGGTGTTTTTCGAGTGACGGCAGTTCCGGTTAGTGGAACGGGGCGGGGGGGGGGGGCGTCCCCCAGTGCACATCACTAAACCACTAAACCCAGTTCTGCCAACGCCCGAGACGAGGTCGAGAGGTTCAGGGGCCACGTCGCACGAATGGCGTGACGTCGGATGCATGAGTCGGCGGCGGAATCCGAACCCTACCCTCGCCATCAACGATTCAGGCAACTCGAGGGGGGCGGCGGGGGTAGGGTTCGGAAGTAGTCGAACACGTTGCGAAGTCAGAACCCTACCCCCGCCTCCCATCGATTCAGGAGAATCGATGGTTGGGGGTGTAGGGTTCGGATGTCGTCACTGAGTGAGGACTCGTGAGATTTAGTTCGTCCGATCCGCACCTCCAGGCACCGCTGGTCGAATCTGTAGGTATATAACTACAGACATGGTAATTGAGGAGCGAGGACTGCGAGGGATACAGCATTGACCATGCTTTGAAGTGTATAGCCCAATGTCTTCATCCGTCGCCAAGCACGCGCGCGCGCGAAGAGACCCACGAATGCCCTCACTCTCCCCCCCCTCCCCCTTGCACGCTTGTTGGCACGCATGCAGTTCGTGTCAGACTGTTTTTTTTCTGTTCTGCATCAGCGTGCCACGTTCTTGATCAGGAGATTTCAAGGCGACGGCGACGTGCTGAACGGTTCGGTGAACCACAGGCGCCAGCATGTTGTTATGTGTCCTGGCCACTCTCAGAGCTGCACACGTTGTTTGATATCCGATTGTCGAATGTCCAGTGAATAATTATGTTAGTGGATCTTCTGTGCCAGGTCTGGCCATAGGTTCCATGCCCATTTCTGCTATAGATAGTCGGAGTAAGGGGTTCCCGCTCACGCGAATCCATTGAACATCGCACGTTTCTGAGTGTATGTGTGTTGGCTCCTTCAGGACGAGGTGAGTTTGACCCCTGCTTCTTCTTCTGCCTCTTCTTCTTCTCATCCTCCTTTCCGCTAGGGGGGAGGTGCCGTGGGGCCTGGTCGGGAGCGTCCTTTGAAAGAAGGGGGAGGCGAACGATGAGGGAGAATGTGGCGGAGCAGGTGGAGGAGGGGAAGAAAGAAGAGGTGGATCAGGGAGATGACAGCAAGGAGGGGGCGCAAATCAAAGGGGAAAGTGGGGGGAGGGGGTAGGGTGAAGGGGAGAAGAGCGGGAGGATGGGAGGAGGAGGAGGAGGAGGAGGAGGAGGAGGAGGGGGAGGAGGAGGAGGAGAAGTAGGCGGAGGAGGAGGAGGCGGAGGAGGAGGAGGAGGAGCGTGACGACGAATAACATGAGACGGATGATAATTTCAGGAGTAGGGCAGGGAGAAGAGCACGAGGAAACGGAGGATGGGGCGTGGAGGCTGGGAGGAAGAAGGTGGGAAAGTGAGGGGCGTGGAGGATGGATGCGCTCCTCACCGCCCGCGTGGTCCTCTGGGCCTGTTTTAGGTTTGTTTGTAGTCGATGTGTATCGAAGGCGCCTACGGCGAGTCACCGCCGCCCCCATGCTTTTTCTGGAAGCGCATCTGTTGCCAAACGTTGGGCCAACGCCGGGCCATTGTGTTGATCTGTGTGCGCCTCCAGCTGGTGTGGAAACCCTTGGGGGAACACTTGGGGAGTTAACATGGAGAGCGGGGGAGAGGGAGGAGAAGGATGAGGAGGACGCGGAGGCCTCTTGGGGGCCTCTTGAGGACCTCTGGGGGGCCCATTGGCCTGCGGAGGCCGTCTTAGGGGCTTCGCTTGGCCGTCTTGGGGCCCTCTTGGAGCGCTTGTCTTGAAGGTTTCTGGGGCTGACTTGGAGCCGCCTTGCGGGCCCCTTGGTTTGCCGTCCTGGGACCCTCCTCATCATCATTATTCCTCATCTCTCCTCCCTTCATCCCTTCCTGCCCTCCTCCCTTTCTCCCTCTCTTCCTCCCGTCCGCCATGCCCTCATCATCATCCCTCCCTCCCTTCCCCCCCTCCTGGGTGCTCTGGGAGCGTCGTGGGTATTCATCTTTGAGGCCTCTCGGGCCGTCTTCGGCTGCCAGAAGCCCGAGAAAGGCGAGAGCGCGAACAAATTTGAAACCAGAATGGAGCATCAATCGAAGTAGAAACAAACGCCATAAGCATAAGCTGTTGGCGCTCCGCGCCCATTTCTTGGATCCGCGCTGGTCCCCCCACCCCTGGCGGCGCCTCCAGCGCCGCCAGGGAGGGCGTCCACCGCCGATCCCAGAAATCCGCGCGGATCGCCAAAAGCTCATGTTTATGACGCTTGCTCTTTTTATCATCAAACAGTTTGTCCTCTTCGGGCCTTCGTGGACGTCCTCATGGAGCCCTCTGGGGCCGTCTGGAGGGCCGCGCGGGCGAATCTACTGGCACACGTGCCCGAGCAGGAGCTGCTGATTCCCAAGTTCTGCTGGTGTCCGCCACATTTGGATTCTTAGAGGTGGTCGAAGGACGTGGGCCTCAAGGCCCCGATCCAATGTGGGTTCTTGGAAACGGGTGGGCATATTATCTATCTAAACGCGGAGCTAAGGAAGTTGATATCACCAAAGGAGTTTTGTGGAGTTTGTGCAGCATATCTTCGAGGAAGGTCGCATGATGGCGAGGTACATCAGTTGGGCTTCGGTAGGGCTTCTCCAACAACAGCTGTGGGAGGAGAAACCCTGCCCTTCAGAGCTGACGGGACAAGGGACGAAGAGACACATCTAGGGAAACAGAGCGAGCAAGGGGGTGGCCTTGGAAGGCCTCTTCGGGCCATCCCTGGGTGCCGCGTGGGGGCGAGGGGAAGGGGAGGAGGAGGATGAGGAGGACGAGGACGCGGATGAGGACGTGGACGAGGAGGACGAGGATTAGGACCAGGCTGAGGACGACGCGGACGAGGACTCATGGAACCATCTAGAGGTATTATTGTGGCTGCTGTTGCTGCTGGTGCTCTCTGGGAGTTGTTGGGGCCTTCTTGGAACCCTCTTGGTAACCCTGGAAGGTTTCTTCGGATCATATTGTAGGCCATCGATTACATATGGGGGGGTCCCAACTCAGCTGCCTCAGGAGCCGGCAAACCTCTTCTTGGGGCTCTTTTGGAGCGTTCTTGGAGCGGTCTTGGGGCCGTTTGGAGCATCTTGGGAGCCATCTTGAGCCAGCTTGGGCTATCTGAGCCATCTTGGAGGTCATCTTGGGCTCTCTGAGGCCGCTCGGGGGCCTCGTAGGGGGCCTCTCGGGTGCCTTCTGGGGCCCTCTTCGGACCCTCTTGGAACCCTCTTAGGGCTCTCTTGAGGCTCTCTTGGGAGCTCTGGAGCGCCTCTTGGGGCCATCTTCGAGGCTATCGATCAAAGGAGGGAGGGTCCCGGTGGAGGCCCCCCCCCTTGCGGGCCACGATCCTGATGAGGGGTGTCCAAGATTTGCCCTCCCAGGGGTTAATCTTGGACGCTCCAACGACTCGCGGCCCCTCGCGTCCAGTTTCACGGGAGGGGGTAGGGCGAGGGGTAAACTCCTTCCCGCAGAGGCATAAGGGTTTTTGGAAGACGAAGAAAAACATCGCTAGACCACCTGCGCCCAGAGGGCTGGTGGGATTGTGGGGTCACGGCGAAGACACAAACGCATCTTGACAATTTGCGTTGGGGCGATCGGAGCCACTGCGACCCCGCGGAGCTGCAGCGAGCGATGATGATGTTCTTGGTGCCAGTCCCGAAGTGGAACACGCTTTTCAGGACGCCGAGGAAGTTGCGGATCCAAGGCAGGCGGCCGACATTTGATTTCGGCAGTTGGGTCATGAACCATCGTGGTTTTCCAACGCGGTGGTCTGTACCATGTGTGTTTGTTCTTTCGGCGAAGTTCGATGGCAACATTCTCAACCTTGAGAAGGTGTGCAAGGGTCTCGGATCGGAGTCGGGAGGAGGGCCACAAGACGCAGATTAAGAGTATCCGTCGTCTCTTCAGGACTCATGGCGAAGGCGCGTCGCTGGGATAATGTTTCCAGTTCGCGTCTTTTGGCCGGTACATTTGTCATGGATTATTGTGTGTTGGTGGATCGGTTCTGGTCCCTGCAGTCTGCTGCGAGAGCTGATATATGTTTTAAGTCGCCTGGACTGATAACTAGCTTGGTCTTTGTGCTCGGCATGCCGCGCACGCTCATCGGCTAGCATTTGGTGTTTGGGGCCGCCCGCATTCGGCATTGGCGGCGGCCGCGGTGGACAAACAGCTGAGGGGTGCGCCCGTCCCGTCGGGCGCACCACTGCGAAGGATCAAGGATCAATGAGGAGGAAGAACACGAGAAGGAGGGGGATGGAAAGGAGGAGGAGGAGGAAGAGGAGGAGGAGGAGGAGCAGGAGGAGGGAGGAGGGAGGAGAGGAGGAGGAGGAGGAGGAGAGGAGGAGGAGGAGGATGGGGAGGAGGAGGAGAGGAGGAGGAGGCGAAGGAGGACGAAGAGGAGGAGGAGGAGGAGGAGGAGGAGGAGGAGGAGGAGGAGGAAGAGGAGGACGAGTGGGAGCAGGACCAGGAAGAGGAGGAGGGGGAGAGCGCAGGGCGGGGCATCGACCCACTCGGACGTCCACCCGCACCTCGTTGTCTATGCCCGCGGGCCCGCGAGCCCAGCGCCCAGGGCGCGGCGGCGGGCGCCGACCAGGCGCAGTTGCAGGAGGCGCGGGGGGGCCGGCTTCGCCACTCCTATCGGGGAGTCGGGGTTCAAGGGACGAGGGACAATGCAAACGGGGGTCAGTCAGGGCGCCGGATCTTGCAGGATCCAGCAGAGCCAGGATCGCCTAGGATCCTGCAAAGCCCGGCTGACTCGGGTCTGGAGTAACCCGGGCCAGTAAATCCCCGAGAGGGGGCGCTCTGGTGGCCTCTTCGGCTCGGCTTGTACGCGCGTGGGTTCTAGGGCCTCCTGTGGCTCGGATGCAATTCCTGGGAGGTCAAATTCTGATTTGGCCCTGGTTCGAAATCCAGCGTAAGGCTGCATAATCCCGCTTGATCTGGCTTGACCTGGCTTCATCCCGCTCAATCCCGCTTGCTCCGCGGCCTTATCCGGCGTAACAGCCCCCCAGTGGGCCTTCATTCTCCTGAATCCTTCCGACGGAGACCTCCCAGTGCCTCTAACTGTGGGAGGATCCCCCGTGTCCAGGGCCAGATCCGCTGGTCGAATTCTGGTCAGAGCGCGCCTCAGGAGACGTCTGGACGGGGATGGGTTACGACGCCCAGACTTCCGGGAGCCACCAAGAAATCACCACGGCCGGTTAGTTTTTTGGGCTTGGCCTCGCCCTGAATCTCAAGATCGGCCACGCGCAGGGGGGGGCTATATATGGGGGAGCGGGGAAGGCTTCTTAGAATTTCCTTGCTTCTTGGAAGGCGCGGGCCTTGCCTGTAGATGTCAGGCCGGCGCTTTCTAAGAAGTAGCCTCCTTCTGTCTAAAAAAGAAAAAAAAAAAAACGCCGTAAAACATAAGCTTTTGGAGCTCCACGCGGTTTTCTTGGATCCGCGCTGGGTCTCTCTGGTGCCGCCTTCGGCGCGCTCCGCGCGCCAGCTAGCCCAGGTCCAAGAAATCCGCGCGGACCTCCGACAGTTTATGTTCATGTCATGTTTTCGTCCTCTATTCTAATTATGAAACCTTCCCCCCTCCCCCTACCCTCATTTGCGCGCCGCCAGCAAGAGCGATTGCACTGAATCAGAAGAAGCGGCATAAGCATACGTGTCCGGATCTCCGCGCGGATTTCTCGGGATCGGCGCCCCCCTGGCGGCGCTGCCAGCGCCGCTCTTTGGCGCGCTCCGCTCGCCAGGGAGGGGGGTCCAGCCCGGGAGGTAATGTTTCTATCCCAACCCACGACTTCTCGACGAAAAATGAAGCGGCGAAGAAAAGGAGGGCAACCCTGGGACACACCCCCAGGGGGCTATAATAGGCTATTCGGACGCACCCCTATCTAGGATGGGCGCCAACCCCCTCGTGTATCCCAGGGTTGGGCCCCAAGTTGTTCGTCCACTCGAAAACCTCCCAAAGCCTGGAATAGGGGTCGACATATCCCCTGTTAGTTTTCGGTTTTTCTCTATTTCAGATGACGCCTAGTGGGCACGAAGCGTGAGAGGGGCGTGTCGAACGGGGCGAGGGGACCGCACGCGGGGCTCTTCGTTGGAGCCCCTCCACGGGCGCATGAGAGCGTGCGGGGGGGCGGGGGGCGGGGGTGGTGCGCGGCGACCGCGTGCGATTTCGCCCACCGGGGCCTGCAGGCCCCATGAGCACACGTCGAGGCCTCTTAGGCCGGGTCGGAGCAGATGTGGTCGCCGCTGCATCGGCGACGCGGCTCGATGTGGAGCCCGGTGTTCTCCACGCCGGCGTCGCCGATGTATCGCCGACGCATCGCCGATGCATCGTCGATGTGTCGCCGATGCATCGGAGATGCGGCGCGATGCTCCGACCTTGTCTGGGAGGCCTCTGCACACGGAAACGCGGCAGGTCGGAGGATGCTAAGGCAGTGTGTAGGTTCGCACGGAGTGTTCGGTCTCCGTCCGGACTGACTCCGTCTTTCACCACCCACCAAAACCACCCCAACCCAACCCGAAGGCCGCCTCAGTTGGCCTCCCATTCTTGGTGGGGGGGTGGGGCGTCCAGGAGCATAGAAAAAAACACATGTGGAACGCGCACCGTTCCCTAACCCGAAATTTGGGTCTTCGAGTTAGGGCGATGTGGTCTGGCAGGTAGTCGTAAGTCCGGCATGCCCCTCTACAGGAGGAATACTCGAAACAAGCATCAGAAAAAACATTGTCTGGTGACGATTGCTCGTGCTCTTTTGACCATGCTCGATTCTGTTTTATGCTATTGTAAATGTCCTTCACACATCTCCCTGTATGAGGACATACACGACCTGAAGGTAGGCAGACTTCGTCCTGACTCCAGCCCCTCCTGGGCGGGGCGTGCAGAATCGGCGTCACCCCAACGTACTACTATATGTAGTACGGCGCGTAACCCCGACGTAACTCCAGGGGCGACGCGCGCACCGAGAAATTTTACAGTACATGTGTCGTGGCGGGCGCTTCCTGGCCACACCGCTCGGTAAACGATGTACTACAAGATGGGTGTACTATATGTTCGGGTCGGACGCGCGCCTCCAGGGATCGCAGATCGTACCAGTGTGTCTCTGTGCGTCCCACGGAAGTCCGGCTCGAGGCGGGGCTGCGGCCGCAGCGGCCGGGCACGCAGCAGCGGCGGGTCAGCGGCGGCCCTTGGGGCGGGGAGGGCGGCGGGGCGAGCGGCTCGCGCGGCTCGCGGAGGCCAGGGCCCCGCAGTCCAGGGTGGGGGGTTCGGGGGCGGCAAAGAGAGGGGTGTGGACCAAGGGGGGGGGGGATATTATGGCGGAGGGCCGTGATATTTCCCCAGATTTCGTGACGTCCCTTCTTATTTCAGTACGCTCCAGGCCCCCCCCCTCGTGGGCCGCGCACATGCCGCCGGCCATGATTTGGGCCCCCCCCCTCTTGGACGCCCCCCTTTGGGTCGCCCCCGAGGGGTGGGCTCGTCGCTGCGAGGTCGTCGCTCCGCGGGTGCGTCCGTCGTCCGCCGTCCAGGCCCAGAGCTGTCGTGTGTCGCTGCTCTCGGGCTCCAGGGGATCGCTTCCTGGGCCCTGGGGTGCCTCCCACGAAGGACGACCGAGGATGAAGAGCTGGTCCCGGCGAGAGTCCCAGGGTCCAGACCAGTTGCCCCCGGGACACGTTTCGTCGTCGACGGTGGTGTTGCGTCTCGGGTGCCGCCCTCGGGTTTGAGATTGGTGCTGGCTATCCTGTGGGCCTGCTGGGGTCGGCTGGGGCTTCTCAGGGGCGTGGGTGCCGCTTGTCACACGAGACTGCGCGCAGACAGCCCGTCGGATCATGTGTGTTGTATAAGATACAATGAATTTTTCGGGCCTCCACCTCTCACCCCTTCCCCCCCCCCCGACCTTTACCTTGGACATCGGGGGGGGGCGGGGAGCAGCAGAAGCGCCGTCTGTATAACGTGTTATGCATGTGTTCTCCGTCTCAAGTTCTTTGGGGCTCAAGCGTTCATGCAGATTTCGCTTGAGCTCGAGTCAGTCTGCTCGACTTCTCCCTCTCGCGCGGGCAGTGCGATATCTTCTGCTGGCTCGTCCTGGGAACTGGTGGGCTCTGAGTGTGGGGAGCGCCCGATCTTCTTTGCAGGGCAGGCGCCGAGCCTGCCAGAAGGCGGGGGTCGAATCCTCGCGACGGCGCGCTGTGGCGGGCCTCTCCTGGTGTTCCTCTGGACGCTCGTGACCGTGGTCCGTGACCCTCCGAGCCTCGAGGAGGAGCCGCTGGAGGGTGAGGAGTTCACGCCCGAGCGGGTTATGCCAGTGGAAGTATGGAGCAGGCGCTACTATCGCCGGAGCGCGACAGATGGTCTGGAAATTTTCTTAGTTCGACGGAAGACTGGGAATTGCTGGGCGGCCCTGCTGCCCGATCTCTCCATGGGTACCATCACGATCACTGCGAAGACGACGGTCTTCTCCGACCCGGTGCCAGGCATCCGCTGGCAGGCGCTTCCAGCACTCACGCAGGTGCAGAAGAACAGCTTCATGCAGCAGGCTACGGACGGTCTGCGGGCAGGTACTATCCCGCCGCTGGAGCTGTACCGACCGGGTCGTCAGGCCCAGCAGGCTGTCGCCGTCAACGTGGTCTATGCTATGGCCAGCTCTGCTCGCTCTTCACTGCGTACTCTGCGGTGGGCGTTGCGCTCTCCGTATCGTGTGCTGGGGCTGCTGGCGCTGGGTTTCGTGCTGTTCGAGGCTCTGAAGTACCTGGGGGTGGTGGATATGATCGTGGAGACGTGGTCCGCGCTTGTGAGCTGGATGGTGGCCTGCAGGGACACGGTCATCGAGTCGTCCGAGACAATCCAGGAGTGGGTGTCCTACGGGGGCGAGTGGGTGGAGTGGGCTCGGAAGCTCATGCCGTTGCGGCGCTGGGCGGCCCTGCTGCTGTCGCTCGTCCTGCTCATGATCTGGGGAGCTCACGAGATGCAGGAGGCGGAGGAGACTGGTCTCTCGTCGGTGGCCTCGTCCTCTGCATCATCTGTGGTCGGCGACGTCGGGGGTGCTTCGGTCGTGGGGCCCCCTTTGCCGCCACCTGGAGGGGCTCCTCAGCCCGTCGCTGCTGCTCCCGACGCCGCCCTTGTGGCCCAGTTGGACGACTTAGCCGAATCTCAGAGGGCGATGGCCGCGGAGCTGAACGAGATCAGGATTGCCGAGCGGGCTCGGGAGCTGAGGCGCTCGGCGATGGTGTCATCGAGCGCGGACCGTGGTGCCGAGGTGGCGGCTGCCAACCAGCTGCAGATCCAGTCCATGCTGAGCCGGCTCGACGAGTTCGAGGCTCGCTTGCAGGGAGGTGCCGTGGCGGCAGCGCCTGCGGTGGCAGCGGGAGCCTCCCCTGCCACGCCCGTGGGCACGGCGGAGGGTCCCTCATCGCCGGCGCGCGGGGACGCAGCGGTGCCGATGGAGACCCCCGACAAGCGTGCGGCCTCGGAGCCTGCCGAGGCGGTGTCTTTGGCCATCAAGCGGATGAGGTTCAAGGCTCAGATGCCACAGCAGGTCTTCCTGGAGCAGCTGGAGGACTTCAAGGAGTGCCCAGCCTCCGAGTGGGCGACGAAGATGCCGGAGGGCTACAGGGAGAGAA